AGAATATGAAAAATTTCACTAAGTAAGGATTTACTTATTAATAAATAAGGCTTTGACTTCCCCTGGATTAAACAAATCATGACATTCTCCCTTTATGTGTTTTTGTTCCCTTTGCACATCTTTTTCAATTTCAGAATTAGATAGGTTCGAGTTTGATCCCTGGTACCAAACAAAAAACAAAAAACAACCGGTCAGGCAAGCGTCTGATAATATAGACAGAATTAGATAGGTTAATAGTCAATGTATAGTAATTATCATTGCCATGTATTACATACTGTATTTGGTCCCATATTGTGCCTACTGGAAGAAAAGTCCACTTATTTATTTATTTATAATAACTTTGGTCTGTTCTCAGGTATGAGTTTTGAGTATTGTGTTCTGACAAATTTACATGGTACATGTGATTACTTGAGCAGAGAGAATTTTGAATTGTCCCAGTTAGAGCTTTGGAGTACATGTAGAAAGGAGAGAGCATCCATTCTTTATGACTATAGAATTGTTAGTTTTAGAATGCCCTTAGAGATCTTCTGATCCAATTGGTTAATACAATTGCCTAAAATGTGTACTGTCAGAATTATAATGAGTTTCACATTGGATACTTAAGTTCCAAGAGAAGATTCCTCTGTGACAATGCTTTCTATCACTTGTACCAATTTTTAAAAGTTTATTTTGCTTGTGGGGAGTTTGGAGAAGAGTTCATTGGCTAATGTCAGCTCGTTGCTGAGGTTGGGGAGGTAACAGTTTTGACTGTGGTGAATTAGGGAAAGGTAGCATAAATACTCAAAAACTCAATTCAGCAAATATTTTTGGCTCAACATTAGTGCAGGGAATTGCATATTTGAATAATGATGTAGTTACTGACCTCCTGGGGCTAAGGGTCTCTTGGGGTAGCCTGAGAGGGAAGTGTTAGTGTATCTGCGCATCTATTAAGTCCAACTAAACAAGTGTGGAAGAACAACAAATGAGACATTGTGAAACAACTAACATCTAGGCTGGATTTTAATTTAATATACCAGTTTTAAGAATAAAAATTAATCCCCTAATTTGACTTTTTCAGAATAAAGCTGTTAAGTTTATATTGACATTTCTATGGATTTTCTGGCATGTTTATTATATATAAAGAGTTCCTATTGTTTACTTCTAATTAAGAATCAGGTTGCTTTACAGACATTGTTCATTGTTATTGATAAACACATTATATTTAAAATAATTGAGGTATGAATTGGTAAACATTTTCTTATAAAACCAGACTTCTGTGAAATATTAATACATAGATCATTTCCTTTAGGGGGTGGGAAAAAATCCAAGACCTTCAGCTATAAGATGTGCTCACTAACAGCTGTTTCCTATAATAGGAGCAATTTGCATGCAGAATAGAAAAAATGAATTATACAAAAGGGTGTTTAGAGGAACAGCTATAACTTCTCTGGCCTGTACAGCAACCCACAAAATAAGCTTCCTTCAAATGACACTGGCATAATTAATCCCAACCAATCTGGACACTGAAACTGCTGTTCTGAAAGGGCTGAGTAGCTTGGAAATGCTATGGTGCAGCACTAGCCCCTGGCTCTGGGTGGCGTGGGGTGTGCAGTGAGTTTAGAAGTATCCCTACCCTAGTGTTCAGAGTATTTGAATGTTCATGACAGGTTGGGAGCTGATCAGTGGATGCAAGATGGAAGCTAGTCTGGGTTGTTAATTGTTTTTTTTTTTTTTTTTAAACCTTTAAGTCAAGCACAGTGTCTCATTTTTACTTTTTCTGACATCAGCTTGGGGAAATTTTTCTAAAGTGAGTTAAAGGGGACAGCCAGGCACAGAGGCTTGCCTTTAGTATACCCCTTTATAACCATATTTGCATTTGTGGAATGTGCAACCATTTTTCACGTACATTATCAGCATCATTGTTTGTAATAAAACACACCTCGTGGGCCAGGGATTTAGCTCAGTGTTACCACTCCTGCATCGCACGTAAGGTCATGAGTTCTATCCCTGGTATCAATAAAAAAGAAAAGAAAAAGAAAAAGAAAGAAAAACACCTCATGCTTATACGTAGTTCTCATATAGTTTCCTTGCTTGTTACAGCCATGCTTACAGATGTGTAGGTGATGTTTCTTCCCTGTCAAAGGGAAAGGATATATAGGCTGTCTAGATAATATCTAGCTCTAAGCCATGGACCTGAGTGTTCTCATTCAAATTCAGGTACCTCTACTTGCTGACTCCTTTTTATTTTCATCTGAAGAAGTCACATGTCAATTAGATTTCCTGTCTCATATGAGCCACTTATTATGCCAGGACCTGGACTGTAACTTTTATATTCATCACTCTCTCATTCTATTCAAACATCTAAAGCAAGGCTCGTAGTCTGGGTGGCATATGCACGACAGAAATGCATTTCTCATGGTTCTTCTGGCTAGAAGTCCAAGATCAGGGTAACTGCAAGGCTCCCTTTTGGTGAGGGTCCCCTGTAAGGTTGCAGACTGCCATCTTCTTGACATGTTTTCAGATAAATGAAGAGGCCAAAGAGTTTTTTTTCATAAGGATATCAAACCTATTTATGAGGGCTCCCCCCTTAAAACCCATTCATCTCCCCAATGCTTCACGTCCTAGGACTGTTACCATCAGAGGTTAGGATGTCAAAATATGGATGGGAGGGCACATTCAGTCTGTAACAGTTACCCTGTTTAATCTTCTCATTGTGTAGAAGAGGAACCCAAGTTTCAGAGAACAGATGGGGATTTTGCAGAGGTAGCCTAGAGTTTGAGGTGAATCATAGATTAGCAGCCAGATATGCTGGCTGCTACAGCTTGAACATATTCTTTATCTTCCTGAGGTAAACATTCTTTTTGTCCCTGAGAAGGGAAAGGAATTAGCCAGTGAAATTCTTGAGTGTATCGTTGTAAGGGGCCCTGTTAAGTGTCGAAGCACTGACGGGACAGTTAATGCTTGGGGAGACTCAAAGGAGAAGGAATGCTAGTGCTTCATGGCCTAGAAACTGGAATTTAAATGAGCAAAAGATACTGAGTTGCCTCAAGGTATGATAGAAGGAACAGTAAGAGGAGGAGGCCCAGGTGGGAAATGCTCAGCATCAGGGGGTGGATGTGTTTGAAGGAGACTCAGGGTTTGTGGTAAGTGTAAAGGGAGGAAGCTTGGAAAGGTAAGCTTGGGCTGCTGAAGAGAACTTGGGGCACTGGGCTACGCAGCCTTGATATTCAGCTTTACTCTGGGAAACCATGAAAGTGTGGTTTTAACCAGGGTAGTTTCAGTTGGCTTTTTTTTTTTCTTTTGGTACCGGAGATCGAACTCTGGTCCTTGCGCTTGTGCAGCAGGCTGCGAAACCACTGAGCTAAATCCCCAGCCCAGTTGGCTTTTTTTAATCGATGTTTTTTTTCTTTTTTTCCCTTAAATTCTTTTATTGGTACATTTTAGGTAAATAATACATTTACATTTATCATTGGGTGCTTGTACCTGTACATGATGTATCTTGGTTCTTATTTTTTCCCCATTACCTGTGCGCCCTTCACTCCTTCCACCCTTCCCTATTTACATAGACTTCGTTTCCATTTTTTTTCTTTTCTCATAATTTTTCCTTTCCCTCCTTTCCTTTCCCTTTCCCTTCCCACCACCCCTACCCCTTTGGACCTTTTCTTCCTATTTCAAATTATCAATTATTTGTTTTAATCAGTTTAACCCTTATTTACACTTTCAGTTTCTCACACTAGAGAAACTTTGGTATTTACACATGTGTGTCCTATTTATTTCACTTAAAGAGTATGGCCTCAATATGCATCCATTTAGCTATAAATGTCTCTAGTTTCTCATTCTTTATGGCCGAGTAGTGCTCCATTTTATTAAAAAAACCATATCTTTATCCATTTTCCAGTTGATGGACACTTGGGCTGTTTCCAAACTTTAGCTGTTACAAACTGTGCCGCTAATAAACATAGGTGCACATGTATCGCTGTGGTATGATTCTTTTAATTCTTTTGGGAAGATCCCCAGCAGGGGAATAGCTGGGTCAGATGGGACCTCTAGCCCTAGTTCTTTGAGGTACTTCCATACTGATTTCCATAGTGATTGCACCAGTCTGCACTCCCACCAGCAATGGAGAAGGGTTCCTTTCTCCCCACACCCCCAACAGCATTTGTTATTGGTTGATTACTTGATAGCAGCCATTCTTTCTGGGGTGAGGTGGAATCTCAGTGTTGTTTTCATCTACATCTCTCAAATGACCAGTGATGTTGAACATTTTTTCATATATTTATTTGCTGCTTTTAATTCTTTTCAGTTGGCTTTTGATTAGATTTGGTTTAATGGGAATGGGGTGGGGGGAATCTTAGTTTCTGAGGCATTCTTATTCCCTAGAGATTGCCTAATAGTTTTGCTTCCTACTAATTCCATATGAAATACAAAGGCCCCATTGTTTCTTTTGTATTCTTGTGATGTGATTATATTTTAAAGTGTTTGTATGTCTGTCAGACTTTCAATAAGTCTTCTTTTGGAGGGAGAAAGATAAGGGTAATAAGTCTTTATGGGCATCAATAAAATTGACAGACTATCGAGGGTGATGTAGGAACTGGAACATCTCAAACAAGTGAGGAGTGTAAGCAGGGGAGTGATTTGCATCGAAGCCCAGACATAGGGAGCAGTTTTGTTAGTAAAATCGAAGTTCTTTATGAGGCTTAGGGGTAGGAGCTACCCCAGTTTCTCTAAAGCTGTAGAGCAGGTGATAACAGCTGCTGTCCACTCATGACCATGGTTGATTGCAATGAGCTATGGTCAAAATTTCATTAAATAACTTAAAGTTTTTGCTTTAGATAGGACAAATTATTGTTTATAGATTCTAGAAAAGAAATAAAGAATAGATGAAAGACTCAACTTTGGGGTTACCAGAGGGCTGTGAAAATTGGGAGTGATCTGTGTGGTAGAACAGGATTTTTTTTTCCTTTTGAAAAAAGAATGTGTTTTTAATTTCATCTCTCCTATTTTCTTTTTTAATGTTGCAGTGTGCAAAGATCCACCTTACAAAGTAGAAGAATCTGGGTATGCTGGTTTCATTTTGCCAATTGAGGTTTATTTTAAAAACAAGGTATGTAATCTTTATTCACTAATCTTTCAGAAGACCCTCCATTACTCAAATGTTGTTTAAAATACTTTTGATTCATAACACTTCTAACACTGTAGTTTTAAAACACTATTTAAAACACATTGTTTTAAAATAAAGGTTACATTTGTGTTCTTGGAATTTTGTCTATGGTTACCCTTAGTAATAGAGGGAGTGGCTATAAAAAGATAATTTGAATTAAAGTCAGTTTATATGAAATTAATTAAACTTCCCTTTTAAGAGAAGAATGATTGTCATTTTGAAAAAGAATAATACATGTTTGTAAAAAAAAAAGCATTTCCAGTTAAATGCTCCTTTACTCATTTTGACATTTCTAGAATTTTTGAGGCTTACAAATAATAATCTCATGTTATCTTTAGCTAATATAAATACTGACGCTTATATATAGTTATTTCAACTCGAGATATTATGGATCCTACTGAATTTAAAATTTTTCAAGAGCATATATGTGGCAAAATACAGTGCACCCTTGACTTATGAACTCGATCAGTTTCCAAGGGCTGGTTGTAACTCAATTTGGTTGTAAGTCAGTATAGCTGAGATCTGGATGTTTACCTGGATACATGCTATAGATAACAAGAGGCAGATGAAACCTCTGTTAACCTCATTAACCCAAGTTGTTCTTATCTGAGGCTGGTCATAACTTGAGGGTCCACTGTACACAGACTGTAATACTGGAGAAATTGCTGAACCTCTGTGAAGCCCGTGTTTCTTATTTATAAAACAAGATAAGAGTACCTAGGGTTAGAGAAATGATTTTATGTGAAGTATTTAGAGCAGTGCCTCATATTTTAGTAAGCACTCAGTAAATGGTATTTTTAATCATGCTATTTCTTACTTTTCACCCCATAAAATCACAGTTTCTAAAATATGCCCCAAAGTGAGATAATTCACTTGAAAAAGGAAATGAGTAAATAGAACTTCCTGTTATCCAAGCCATGAAGTATGGTCCTGAAGACAGTAGCAGCATCGGTTCCTAAGTGGGGACAGACTCACTCCACCCAGGTCTACTGAGTCGGTCTCTGTGGTATGGTCTGTGAAGTAGGAATGCACAGATGAAAGGATGACTTTATTTTTCATATTTTTTCTTTCCGACCCTGTCTTCTCATGCACCACATCCCTGCTATACCATGTTTCTTCACACCTTCCACACTATTAATTGGGGTTTTCTTGTATTTATATTTTGGGTACATGCATGATAGTAACTTATTTCTGCATGAATGTTTGTGTGTTTACAGCACTTTGTCTTTGACAGTATGCTGAATGTTTTACATGTATCATTTCATTTAGTAAGTTTATAAGAACTTTTGAGAGGTAAGATTCATCGATGATACAACATATCTTACTTATTCTTTTTTATGGCTGAACAATATTCCATTATATAGATGTATTGCATTTTGTCTTTGCATTTGCAAGTTGGTAGCCATTTGACTTCTTTCTACTTCTTGACTATTATGAAAAATGCTGGTGTCTTAGTTTTCTCTCATTGCTGAGACAAAATACCCGAGACCCAAGTTAAAACCTGTGAAGCATAACATTAATTTTGTTGTAAAGGCTTATAAACATGGGTGTGTCACACTCACGTTTATTCTTTAGAATATTTCTATTGATGAATTATCAATATTAATTTTATGAGTTTTATTATATTAAATGAGTACTTAACAGGAAAAAAATATCAGAAAAAGAAAGCATTGAATTTTTAGTGTTTATTGAGTGTTTATAAAAAAGCATCAGGTTTTTCGACATCTACTGTTTTTGATGTAAAAAGTCTAAAAAAGAACGGTAGAAATAAATTCCTGTGTGAAGTACAATGAAAATACCAACTGCACTCTACAAAAAAAAATCTTTACTTCAATTATCATTTGTAAGGCAGTCTTCATGGATGACAATAGCACGTTCCATATACATGTATCTCACTGACAGCATATGTGTTTTGCTTTCCTGGCCTTTTTATAGGACATACTTGACATCTCACTAGTCTTGCTGTTTTGTCAGGAGGTTCTTATTATACAGTGTGTACTTAACAGGTACATAAACTATCAAAGTATTAATACATATTGCACTTTTAGAATAAACATCAACATTTTTATATCAGCTGTGTACTTGCTTACAAAACCTAAAAGATAACATCAGAAATAAAAACCTATGTGAACTACAATGAAAATACCAATAGAACTCTACAACAAAACAGTCTTTGCTTCAGTTGTCATACCCAGGCATCACACATGAAAACTGCATCCTCCATACACAAGTATTGCTTACATTGATAGCATGTATGTTCTGATTTCCTGGCCTTTTTTGTAGGGCACAGTTGACATCTTTTTGGTTTTCCTGTTGTTGTTCTAGTAAGTCTTTGTGATGCTGCACCTGTCTGTCCACCTGTCAGCTCACCAGTGTGTGCCACAGTTTTTTTTACATAGTTTCCTGGGCAGAAACATTTTGTTTTTCCTCTGCTGTAAATGATCTCTCATGAGTTCCAGTCCCAGTCCTCTAAGAAAATTTTCCGTGGTATTTTGCACTTGTTATTTTCTTTGTCACCTGTCAAACTACTTGTGCTACACGTGTTTAGGATTGAGTAAAACACAATCATCAGCCAACACTTTGTGTTTCAAGTGACATCATAGTTGCTGCATAACTCATCAACAACATCTACTCCGCCTTTGGTTTTATGCTAGAAAGTTTCCATCTCAGGCTTCCGTTTTGTAGAGGTTTCTCTATCAATATTTTTGTCATGCTGTGGAATGTTGTCAGTGTTGATATCAGCAATACCAGTTTGTTTTTCTTTGCTATATACAACGCTGATGTAAACCTTTCTGAAATCTAAAGATTGTAGTATACATTTCTGTTTTGAAATTGCAACATTGCATTTGGAATTTCTGCTTTATTCCTGCATACAGTTCCTACACTGGTCACTTTGTGCTTTATTAGCAAGTGTAACATTGATTGGAAACTGGTAAACTAATCGTCGAATGTCACATTCTGATTAGTTTAGGAGATGGGAGCAACAAGTTTGCTCACAGCATCATTTGGTTTACTATACAAATAAGGATCTGGTGTCTGAGTTCCAGGATAAATTTCTAAATTGAAAGTATAATAAATCTTTGTATTTACAAGGGCATAAATTTTTATGCCATATTTTGACTCATCACTTTTCCCTAAGTCTTACATCCCTGTGATTACTATGAGAAATACCTGCTAAGTACAGCAGACCTATGAATGCTTTCAATTCAGATAGTGAGGTGTCACTAATAAATATATTATTGAATATGGCCGTTGGTGCATACAGAACATTTTACTTGTATTTCAGCCTTTGTGTATTTCACAACATCTTGTAGCAGTTCCAACATTGAATGGTAGTGCTAGCATTCTGTCCAACAGGTTTCACCCCTGCCAAGATCCTCACTATATCTTTGGACCTAGTTCTAACATTGGATCATTCTCTTTGGTTGCGTGACCATTTTGCAACATTTCGACTAGTCAAATACGCACTCACATTGCTGTTTTCTTCATCATGTGAATTAAGGAGGTCTGCACTCTCTGTGTCTGAATCAGTTGATTCTTGCTTCATTTCACTGTCACAGGAACTTTGGCTCACATGGCCTGCATCAAAGTTGTTGTGGTCATCGTTGTCCTCCTCCTTGTCCTCTTCCCCCCCCCCATTCCTCTCCCTGCCCGCTTCTCATCATCATCCACCCACCCCACTCTTCTTTTATGAAAACATGTATTTTACTATAATGGATCATCTTCATCATTCATGCACAAGTAATCTGATGGTTCATTTTTGATCTCCCTCAAAACTTGCAGATCTGGTTTTTCATGTGCCATTGTACTAAACTGGGGTACTTCTGCCAGAAAAATCAAAAGAAAACTGGAAAAAAAATTCTAGAGTGGCATGGATGTATTATACCCTCTTTGATGCTCAGATAAACATACATAAAACTTGCTAGATGGAGCATAATCCTGGCTAAAAATCCTGGTTTTACATTTTTGCACACATGCACACACCTTGCCATTTGTTGAACACACACAAAGGTTGCTTCCTGTATCCCTCAGGAAGAGGTACTGAGACACGTAGCTGACTACTATTATGATAAAGTAAAAATTTACAGTAGAAAATTAAGGGATGTGTTTGTGGAATCCAGTGTTATGCCTCCCTGGTAAGGGGGAAAGGTATATTTAGACCATAATCAGCTGGCTCCAAGGCAAGGTGGCACATGGCAGAGGGACAGCAGTTCAAGGTGGGCAGAATGTAGCAAAGCAACAAGGGACCTAAACAATGTCTTTCTCTCCCTTTTGTTTCATCCAGACTACTTAGGGTGGATAACACTCACAACTTCAATCGTAGTGCCCTTGAGCCTAGCATTGCACCATGCATCAATCCCTACATCACACACTCTAGATCTCGCCACCTCTGAAAAAAGCCCTACATATGACTGCATGAGGCTTTGGGGGAGGGGGGACATCTAGACACAAGCCATAACAGCTGGTATGAGTATTCATTTACAAGAGTTTTATGGACAGAAGTTTTCAAATCTCTGGGGTATATACCTAGGTAGAATTGTTCAGTTATATGGTAATTCCAGATTTAACTTACTGAGAAAATGCTAAGCTATTTCCCAAAATGACTAAACCATTTTACATTCTCACCAGCAATATGTGAAGATCCTAACTTCTCCAAACTTGTTTTTTTCCACTTTTCTTTTTTTATTATAGTGTTCCTAGTTGGTGTGAGGTGGTACAGTATCTCATTTTGGTTTTGAGTTGCATTTCCCGATGAACATTTTTTCATGTTTATTGTCCATTTGTTTATATTTTTTGGAGAAATCACTCTTCAGATCCTTTTCCAATTTTACAATGTGTGTTTAAGTGGTTGTATCTATGAGAAAGAAGTCAGAACCTATCTCTCCCTCACCTTATTTCCTTTTAATATCTTGGAAGTTTAATTAATGAAGATCATATGATGA